TAGAATAAAAATAAGAAATAAAGAATAAAAATATGTTTTTTCAAAAAATAGTTCACAAACTATAAAAAACCAAAAAAAGAAAAAAAACTAAAGGTAAAAATTACTTTCCGGAAAAAATTGCTTAGGAACAATTAAGAAGCCAAGAAAATATTAAAAAAAAATAAATAAATATAGTCTAATTAAATGCAGTCTCGTGTTATTACGAAAGTTGGCATTATGAAACATGAAAAATAAGAATTAAAACTATTTTCCTAAAATAATTGTTTAGAAACCATTAAGAAGCCTAGAAAAAAATAGAAAAAATAAAAAAAACAACAAAAATAAAAAAAAATTATTTTTCTAAAAAAATTGTTCAGAAATCATTAAAAAACCAAGAAAAAAAAATAATGTTGGTGTTAACAGTACAAGTATTTTACACAGGTCAAAAAAAACACAGAAGATAAGTGAATGTAAGAGAACAAAAGAGAAAACGAAAAAAAAATAAACAAAAAAAAATTCAAATTTCTTTCCTGAAACAATTGTTCAGAAAGCATTTAGAAGACAAAAAAATGAAAAATAAAAAAAGAAAAAGATGTTGTGTCGCAAACAGAAGACGAGAGCGCCATCTGTGGAAAATTCGGGGTAATACAGCGCTAAACCGAATTTATTTTTTATAAAATTCAAATTTTTTTGCAAACTAATTTCATCGGAGACATCTCCCCATCTGTTGCCTCAACTGAATTTTCCTGGAATAGTTTCACTACAAGGATATTAGAAACGGCCTCATCATAACCCACCAAAACTTTATTTCAACTCAAAGAAACTCCCTTCATTACAGAATCCTTTTTTATTAATTATTAATTGAAAACTATTTCACAAATGAACTCAAACTGACAATACAAATAAAAAAAAAGAGTGCACATTGAGCCTGAACATTTAACTGTATAAATCGTCTTCAGGATCATCTTGGAAGTTGCCCTGGTCACCTCCTGTCCCCCCCGGCGCAGCCGAGCCCCCCGTCCCCGACGGGAACCGGAAGTTGGTACCAAAACCACGTGACTGTTGCAAAGTCTGTGCAAACATCTCGTACTTCCTGATGTCGTTATCCGAGACTGATCTTCGAGCAAATCTCATCGCCTCCTCGAAATGGGCGCGAGTTATCTCCGGGACAGGATCATCCTCATCCAACTGAAACAAACTCTACATTATAGACAGTGTTGCCAGCTTAAAACAATTAATTTCACCAGACCTGAGCTTAAAAGTTACCAGATTACAAGATTATTTTATTTAATTTTTTTTAATAATCTTGCTTAACGCTCGAAAAATTCAAAAATAAATAACGCTATTTCATTTAGTCTAATTCTATATTTTTTTTTGAGTAGTTTTTAATTGAATTTTGCGTAATACTGTAAAAAAATCTATTGGCAACACTGAATTAGTGGTAATCCTTCCAAATTCGCAAATGAATGACAATTATCTATAAAAGTTCATTTACTGTCACCCGATGTTTACGTTTTTACTTGAAAAACATTTGATACAAGCAAAAATAATGACGTCATTTGATGTATTTTTTGGTTTGTTCGACCATATTTTGCATTTTTTTTTGACAAAATTTCACCCAAAGAGAGCAAAATCAGATGAAACAAACGAAAAAACATCTAAAATAACTAACTAAAACTAACTAACTAAAACTTATTTTTGTTGTGTTTTGACAATATCCCGCAAAATAAATGAGTCTCTGGTTCAAAAACGAACTAAATCGAACAAAAATGATATAAATTTCGATTTAATTTGGTAATTTTTCAGTCAGTTTTAGCAAAAATTTGAATGTATTCTAAAGAAATTATAAAAGAAAAATTTATTATGATTAATAAAAAAATTTTTTTTGGTGAAATATAACGTTTTTTTTCTTCTTAATTTCCCTAAATTGCATTAAAAAGCTACGCTTAAAGATTTTTTTGAAATAATAAAATTGTTAAAAAAAACTACTTCGATTTTTTAATATTTGTGTATTTGTACAATCTGTACAAAACAAAAATTAAATTTTGAGATATCTTCTAAAAAAAACAGACTCTTTCGGTTTTTTTTTAATTTAATAACTTGGCTCAAAAAACGATATTTCC